AACCTTGGTGAGCTTTATTGCATGTAATATACTTATCCATATTAAATTCATCATATATACAACATCAAGATAATTAAGTCAGTAGAGCACATGAAGATTAGGCACTTCAATTATACCCGAAGATTGACCATCCTAACATAACCTCCAGGTAGGGGGGTCTGAGAGAGAGAGAGAGAGAGAGAGAGGCAGAAGTGGGGTCACCATCCACACACACACACACACACACACAGTAAACTTTCTCCCACTCTCTAACACACACGGCCGTGCCAAGATAACCTCCACCCAGGCTGCATCAAGATAGCGTCTCGCCTCGGTGTGTCTTACAAGGTCGAACGAAGGATTTGGAGTTAACGGGAATTTTGTATCTAGGTTAGGTTCGGTTGTATCGAGGTTAGGTTTATGTCGGGGTTAGGGTTCGTTAGGCTAGGTTGTATCTAGGTTTGGTTAAGTTAGGTTGTATCGAGGTTAAGTATCATTACGTTATAGATACTATCTCGGCTCCGGGTCTCAGTTCGTGCATCACAATCTATATTCATGACGGCGGAGATAAACTGACCAGAACTAATAGTGTTGGTTTAAGTTTGGTGAGTATTGTGTCGCGCGATGCGGTTCACTGTGCATGCGTACTGAGAATTTGGCCCGCGAGTGAGGTCTTGATTTTACTCTTAACCTAATCTCGATATAACCTAACCTAACCCGATCCTAAGAAAATTAACGGCCATATTATTAAACAACATCTACCCCTTCCAACGAAGAATCTTTTCGAAGGTATTGTTCCATCAAGCGGCATTTTTATATGCTCGAACCTCTTCCACTTAGTGCGGGATGATTTTATTTACGTCTGGTAATACTGTCTCCTTCGCTGATGCATTGTGGTCGTCTTTTCGCTGATGCATTATGGGTCCTGTGTGTGTTTGTTTACCTTTGTTGGCGCCAAATTTAGTATTGTAGCAGCTCTCGTCAGGGATATGTTTTCCTCCAAAGTCTCCCGGGCAAGTCCCATATCACAGAGGGAGCGGGATTTCTTAGTTTATTTGATTGGAGAGGAGAGAATATTGAAAAATAAAAGTACTTGTGGGAAGCTTGTTGCACTAAAGAAACAAGCATGGATACGTATTACAAGTTTCAATGCTGAGGGATATGGACCTCGGCGATCAGTAGAACAGCTGAAGTGGATGTGTACCCATCAATCAATTTCATTGATGAGGACCACAATTACTTTGCTGAAAGCATGCCTTCTACAAACCCAGGGCAAGATTTGTGCTTCACAAATCCTGTACCAGAGCGTGCCTCCAGCAGAGGCGATGACCCAAATTTACAACCTAGCCCCTCAACCTCTTCCCAGAATAATAAAAAGAAAACGTCATTATTTGATGAAAAACGGTATAACCGACCAAACAGGAAAAATATAACCATTGAAGAGGAAGAAAATAATAAATTATTTTGGAGCACACGGCAGCAATTGTTAGATAAACAATTGGAAGAAACAATGATCAACATTCAACTTGCAAATAATCAAAAGTTGCATAAGATTTGGAGATTCAGCTTTTGTCAAAATAAAGATTCAAGTTGAACAAAAGAAGTTAGAAATGATGGAAAAAAATTCTGCACAGTACAGTATAGTATAGTATAAAATTACTTTTGTATTGGGTGTTATCTCAATCATCCTTGGCGTTGTTTAAGGGTTAATAATGCAATCAGTTCACAAAAAAAAAAAAAACGGTGTAATTCACTAAATAACTACAGCTGTATTGTGATTTTCTACCTAACTATACATTATTTTAATTTACATAAATTTTTTTTTAAATAAATTAGTTACTACCTAATTATAATTTATTTTAGTACTGTACTAAAGATTATGTATTTAATACCTACCTACAATTTTATTTAGTACTTAAAATTATGTATTTACTACCTAACTATAAATTAATTTACTATTATAAATTAAGTAATTAAAACCTAACTAATTTAATTTAGTAATTAAACTTATTTCCGTATGTACTTCAGTAACTAACTCGAATTTAATTTACTTAAAAGTATGTATTTACTCCCTAACTATAATTTAAATTAATATTTCATATTAAGTATTTAATACCTAACTATAATTTAAATTAATATTTCATATTAAATATTTAATACCTAACTATAATTTAATTTAAAAATTAAAATTATTTCCGTATGTACTTCAGTAACTAACTAGAATTTAATTTAGTACTTAATAGTCTGTATTTACTACCCAACTATAATTTAATTTATAATTTAAATTTATTTCCGTACGTACTACAGTAACTAAATAGAAATTAATATAATAATTAAAAGTATGTATTTAATACTGAACTAAAATTTCATTTAGTAATTAAAATTAGTTCTTTAATACCCAACTAAACTTTGCGTACATAAGACATAACTTCTGGGATTTGCTACCTAACTACTGTACCATGATTTGTTAAAAAAAAAACTAATGGGATATTTCATCAGAAAATTGTGAAAATAGAAAATGTCAGAGTACTGTATAACCTTTTTTCTATATTTACAATTTCTTTCCGTTCTTTTATTTTCCGCCCCCCAGGCTCCGTTGTGGGTCGTTGGACCCGTGCCCGGGTGGGCTAATTCCCGTAAAAAAAAAAAAAAAAAAATCCAGTGACGTTTAGTTTGTTTCATTGAAGAAAGATTTAGGCTTGGACAACAGTAGTTATCACATCTTGTCTGGGGGTCACAGAATGGAAGAGGTTGGGAACCACTGATCTAACTGCTTATGTGGAGGTGGTATGTGGAGGGAGGGGTGGTATGTGGAGGAAGGGAGGGAGAGGTACTATGTGGAGGGAGGGAGGGAGAGGTACTATGTGGAGGGAGGGAGGAGGAGGGAGGATGTGTGGTGATGCTATGTGTGGAGGGAGGGAGGGAGTGAGTATGTTGGGAGGGAGGGATGGTATGTGGAGGTGAGGGAGGGAGGAGAGGTGGAATGTGGAGGAGGAGAGGTGTGGTATGTGGTGAGAAGGAAGGAGAGGTGGTAAGTGGAGGGAGGAAGGGAGAAGTGGTATGTGGAGGGAGGGAGGGGTGGTATGTGGAGGGAGAGGTGGTAAGTGGAGGGAGGGAGGGAGAAGTGGTATGTGGAGGGAGGAAGGGGTGATATGTGGATGGAGGGAGGGGTGGTATGTAATTCTGTGTCATTACTAAGGAAAAACCAAGTCTCGGGTGCACTCTAAGAATGAGAGAAAACAGTAGAAATTCCTGTAATTCTATTTCAATACAACCCAGTGAATTTACTGCTAATTCAAGGCCTGACCCTCACTGGGCTGGCAATAATTGAAAAAGTAAAGTACTGTACTGTGCCAGGTTACATTACTTACTGTGAAGTCTGCTGATAAAGTGGGGGTGGTGCCAGACCCGTACCAACATGTCGTTTGTACCCACACTGCATCATTAGCAACAAGAAATAGACTAAAATGTTAACACTGAAGGCTGTCTGGCCTAACCAAAGCACCTTTTTAATGTTAAATATTCTAAGGTGAAGTACTTGTTTCCAAGTGCATTACGCAGAGTGTACAGGGAGACAAAGTGTTCAGTGAAAGGTATTGTTGGGAACTGAATGGAGTTTGATGTTTAGAAAAAAATATGGCTGGTCTGAAAAGAAGGGCAAGGTTTGCATTAACTGATTTGATGTTATGTGCTTGGTCAGAGCTCCTGTTCTCCATTGGTTGTGGGAGATACCTTTGTTTCAACTCTCTCTCTGGGCATTGACTGTAATGGCGCAGAAGACTAATTGTAAAAATAAATCGCAATATTAATGTAACCTGAGTCTAGACCAATGGCTAAGTATTGTTCATATGCTTGAGCCATAAATGGATTAGAACACACTTGAGTCTTTGGTAAGTTTCTCTCTAATGCTTTATGTTAAACAGATCCATATATATATGAGCCTAACATATCACTTAAAGCTCAACAGTAATTGTTTGATCATTATTATGAAGTTTGAATACCGAGCAACATACCCTACTTCACATATTATAGATACTATGTGAAACAGTGATTCAATGCTTTATTTTTTTTAATATTGTAGGCAAATAAAAAATTACTGCAGTACATTTTCAACTGATATTACATTCATGTTTTTATTTTAATACAAATATCGTTTATTTTATTTTACACTCATTTTAAATATGTGTAACTACTGCAGGTATCTTAACACCCAATTATGAAATATAAATTTTAAATGAATATCTCAACTGGTTAGCCTTACCATACTAGGGAGGGACCAGAAGCGTATCAAGTAGTATTGTAGCCTTGCAGAGTGTGGATTTATTGTATACTCAAGCTACTAAACATTTCAACCATTCACTTCTAATTTATCCTACATAATATCACTGTACAAAGTTGCATCGCACACATTGATCACAAAGAATAAAATATTAGTATTTTCTAAGCTTCACGCAAACTCTCCCTAAAAGAATCTTCTTTGTGACATTTCAAGCAATTGAAATGATAAAAATGTCTGAGACTCATAATTGATGTTCACATCACATATCATTCACTGTTGAATTAATATCATTCTTCAATGTAGTCAAGACCTTATAAGCTTAAAAACAATATTTTGCTGAATAAATGAGTTATAGGTAGTTACTAATTACTTTTGAAATTTTTTTTGCATTCTTTAACTTCACAGTAGCAAACCAGCACTAGCAAGTACATGCATCTTATTTTACATGTACTGTATAGTCTGGATTTACGCGGATTTCCTTTATGCGGCACCTGGCCAGACCGGAAATTATTAGTTACTCGGTACATGCCATCATTTACGCGGGAAGCAGCAAGGGCAGGGTGCGCACAAGGTCGCCCAGTCAACGAAACATTACCGAGTTCTTCACCCGCCACCCACCACAGCCAGCCCAAGTCAGTGATAGTGAGGATATGGACTTTGAGGGGTTTGACAAAGAGGCTCTGCAAGTATCTGTGGTGGATAGTGATACAAGTGATACAGGTGAGGGCCAATAATCTGCCCTCTTCCTCGGAACCAACCCTCCATCCCCATGTGCCCAGCCATCTCTTCTACTAAAGTAAGTGTTAAAAACCTAATATTATTAATATTTCTCTTAAATATTAATTGTGTGTGCATACCATCCTAAAATTAAGATGTTATTTTTACTACAAAGTAGGTATTGTGTCTGGTGAAGTATAATTTGTTTATTTACTTGAGATTTTTGTTTTTAGCTCATAAAATTCATAGAAATTACCCGGCCAGAATATAATTTAAATTGCTGTTATTCTTATAAGATAGTGATTAATTTTAATATAAACAAGCTAAATTTTCATTAGACATACAAAGTTTAGATCTAATTTAAGAATTTTATTAGGGAGCAAAAATTTTATCTTTTGTGCAAAATATATGACGTTTATATTCAAGTTATTCGCTGTCTTGCAAGCAATGTAAATTATATTCTCCTAACTTTAGTGTGAGGTATTATTTATTACTAAACCTGTAAGCCTAGTCTTTTCCCGAAACATTTCTCAGGAAGGTGGTGGGGAGGGAGGGAGGGAGCGTGGGAAGAGGGGGGGGGGGTTGAGTCCATTATTTGAACGGACATTAACCGGCGACTGTATTTCTCTTAAATATTAATTGTGTGTGCATACCATCATAAATTTAAGATGTTAATTTTACTACAACCTTATGTATTGTTTTGGAAAAAGGGTAGTCTGGGGTCGGCCCAGTCTTTATTTCAAGTAATCCCATATGTTCTGTTATTTCGTTTACGCGTTTCTCGTTTTATGCGGACCTCCAAGGGTTCAATTGACCGCGTAAATCCAGACTATACTGTAGATGTTATTTCAGCTAAAAAAACCTTCTATAATGCATCATGAGATCTCAAAGTTATATGTATTTAGATGTACACAAAACCTGCTTAACATCCCATCTAAGGATGAAGTCTCAGTTCATCTATGAGATGTAAGGATTATTTATGATTAATAATCATTTTCATATATACGTATACTGCACAGTACAGTACGTACTGCACAAAAATTGGAATCAATATAAATGTAACTGTCCTAAATTATATTCCTAAGGAAATCTCAACAGTAAAAAATCTTGAAAAAAAAGGAAGTATCAAATAGCAGACAATACACAATTCATGTCACAAATATATTTGTTAAAAAAATCAAACAATTTGGAAACAAAGGTCAGATGATAACTTTCTTATCTATTCAATACACTCATGACAGAGTCAGTGATCAAACTAATAGCTATATTCCACACAGAAAAATGACAGCAACACTCATTTACAAAATAATGTACAATGTTATGTATAATGTTGAACTGACAAATTGCAGAGTACCATACCCACACTTAACACAAATACAACCTGAGCTAAATTCCATTATAACATGGTTACTAAAAGTTTACAATATCGCTTGTAAGACATAATTGGAATATGTATATGTGACCAGTGTTTTTGTGTAAAGACCTCTTCCACATATGGTACTGGGTCAATTAGTTACTGAAAATGCAATACCATTGTTAGAGTTCAGAGTAACCGACTTTGTAACAATAATTCAGTCCAAATAACCTTAATACTAAGGCCCATATTAAGGAGATACACTTAAGTAAAGTATATACAGTACACAGGTAACACTATTAGCCAGTGCATTCCATACTTATCTCCTTATCAGTCTCATGTGATATAATTATAAAAAATGGGAGGATCCAGGGTGGGGGTCCTAGGGGTCTGGATCCTACCTTTTCCTCAGATAATTCCAATACTTTTTATTTAATGCAGTGCTCGCCATGTTCCCCCAACCACAAATTCTTGGACCCCTCCTTTTGATATTCCTGGATCCGTCCCTTTAAAATGTATGCACTTTTTCACGGACACTGTGTTACCCTTTGATAGCAAGAATGTAAACAAATGTAAAAATACAAATATTGTATGAAGCATGTCAGTTGGCAATCTGCTTCAAGAGTGATTCACTTACCCGGCAAGTGTACCCATTGACAATAAGCATATTATTCAACTCAATATAAAGTGAGTGCACTATCAATGGCAAGACACTAGAGAGGTACAGTATAGCAGCTTCCTCTTCTATCCGGTGTTAAGAGACAGTTACCTCACTAACCCTCAGCTTATACACTATTATATTTACTACAAAAATTTCCACCTTTGTTTCACATTTTCATCTTATATACAGTTTCCTCTTCATAAAAAAAAATGGTTTGCCTGTCTATACAACCTATTCCACCAGTAATCTGTATGAATCAAGTTTTCTTACAATATGCAAACACAAAATAGTCTTCTGCCATCTCTTCTTAATTTCTTTAGCTCTTATACCCTGCTGTCACTGTTAACATCTCATACTCATATGGTTTGGACGTGGGGAGTGTGAAGAACCACGGGATCTCATCAATCCTTCACTTGCTGAAGCTGCCCGGACGGGAAAAGATGTAGTCCGCTTGGCAGAACTGTAAATAATTATGGATGTTACACAAAAATACATATATCTTGATTATTAAGTACGATGTGAACATACCAGTACTATGTCTAGAAAAATGCATCAACTTTTTTTAAAGTATATATGATTCCAACTTTATGCTTATCCTCTACTGTACTATGAAACGAACACACAAGCTTCAAGTATTACGCGGTCTATTTAAGGCAACTGCCATGAACAAGCATTATGATTTGCTCTTAAAAGCCAATTTTAAAGTTTACTTTACAAGTACTATGCCAAATGCAGTAATTCCTGTAACGGATGAATTTTACATTCACGAATATACCTACCAAGGCAGTATAAATGCAAATATTACTTTTCAGACAATGTCACTTCATATCTCTCATGAGCATCCCCTAGGGCAAGTGAGAAGAAACAGGCTAAAAATGTAACAAAAAATAATGACTTCATGTCTTCTGTTTCAAAAAAAAAAAAAAACATACAGTGGTCCCTTGATTAACGACCACAATTGGTTTCACAGAGTCGTTTGTTAACCAAAAATTTCGTTAACTGAATCTATTATTTCAATCGGATATTGGGTAATTGGTTCCAACTCCCTGAAAAAATACATACAAAGTAAAGCCAAAAAATCCATAAGGTCAGAAACACTCCTAAAATTCCCCTAAATTGCGCTAACTCAAACATGTCACTGTCACCTCCCCTAACCCCCCTCCTTCCCTCCCAGCCAGGGATTGGTGGTTTTAGGCTTAGTTTTTATCTTATATAATATCACAGACTAAAGTTAGGATAATATAATTTGCATTGCTTGACTCCTTGCAAGACAGCAAATAATTTGAATATAAACGTCATATATTTTGCTCAAGAGATAAAAATTAATTACCTGTATCACATTAGTAATGTGATATACTAGAACTCTTAAATCACTACTTTAGTCTGTGATATTATATAAGATAAAAACTGTAAGCCTAAAACCCTGGCTGGGCAGATAGGGAGGGAGGAGGTGGTGAGGTGATAAGTTTGACAATTGGTGCCAAAGGTCTAATGCTTGTTTATTTATCAGTCCTTAAGAGTGCCTAAGTTTTTCTCCTATAAAATGACACTGATATGACCTAGAAGAATATAATTTACATTGCTGGGATTCTTGTAAGATAGTGATTAATTTGAATATAAACAAGCTATAATTTGCACTAGACATAAAAATTTTAGTACAGTTCCGCAATCATTTAATACATGTACTGTAGAGGTTTGCACTGAGGTCATTTATTTCTTTTTTGTTTCTTTAAGTATGGTGTGTGCATGAAAATGAATGAAAATAAAGGAAAAAATTATGTAAATCTAACCAAAAATACAGTTGAAAAACTTGTACATGATTAAAATGTTCTATACTAATGTACTAAATTTTTTATCTCTTGTGCAAAATATAGGATGTCTAGATTAAAATTATTTACTGTCTTGCAAGGATTCCAGCAATGCAAATTATTTTCTCCTAACTTTAGTCTGTGATATTATATAAGATAAAAACTAAGCCTAAAACCACCAATCCCTGGCTGGGAGGTGACAGTGACATGTTTGAGTTAGCGCCAAAGGTCTAGTGAAGTATTTGTCTGTTTATTTATGTCCTTTAGATTGAGTTTTTGTTTTTTGCTTATAAAATGTCACAGAAGTGACCGGAGAGAATACAATTTACATTGATAGAATTCTTATAAGATAGTGATTAATTTTAATATAAGCATGCGATAGTTTGCACTATACAAAAATCTTAGTTATCATTTAGTACATTATTTTGAGTGCTTGTGCAGTACAGCTTTGCCCTTAGGACAGTATGTGCATGTAAATAAGTAAAAATAAATGAATAAAGTTACAGTACATATATTGAGCCAAAACATATAAGTTGAAAAACTTTATGTAGACAGAGCTTGGATTGTTAAAGTTTAGAATGACCAAAAATTTTAATAGAAAAAATGCAAAATTATCCAACAACACAACTTTCTGGAAACGAATGTAAACATGGAACCGATTACTGTATTGGCGGATTAGCATATCGGCTGATGTGCACAACAAAGCGTGTTTCTCCTAAGGCTTTCGTTAATCAGAGTTTTGTTCGTTAATGGACCTGAAAACCCTTATGGGAGCTAATTCGTTACCCGAAATTACGTTAATTGAACCGTTCGTTAATCCAGTGTGTGTGTGTGTGTGTATATATATATATACGCGGTACCGCGCCACAACCGGAATTCCCACTTTACGCGGTGCATCTACTCATATACGCGGGAAGCGGTGCGGGCAGGGTGCGCACAAGGTCGCCCAGTCATCAAAACATTATCTTGTTCTTCACCCGCCACCAACCACAGCCGGCCCAAGTCAGTGATAGTGAGGATATGGACTTATATGGACTTTGAGGGGTTTGACAAAGAGGCCCTGCAAGCCTCTGTGGTGGATAGTGATACAATTGATACAAGTGATACAGGTGAGGGCCAATAATCTGCCCTCTGCCTCGGAACCAACCCTGCATCCCCGTGTGCCCAGCCCTCTTTTCTACTAATGTAAGTGTTGAAAAACCTAATATTATTGATATTTCTTTTAATTATTAATTGTGTGTGCATACCATCATAAAATTAAGAAGTTATTTTTACTACAACGTAGGTATTGTGTCTGAAAAAGTGGAGTTTGGGGGTCGGCCCGGTCTCTATTTCAATTAATCCCATATGTTATGTTGTTCACTTTACGCGTTTCTCACTTTACGCGGGTAGCCGTGAGTTGAATTAACCGCGTAAAGTGAGGGTTCACTGTACTGTACTTGTACAGTACAGTATATAACTTATATTGTACAGCACATCAAGGAAGCATAGAGGCCAAGAGTAAACTTTACTCTGTCTACCATTACAGTACAGTACAGTATATAATGTACAGTAGCAAAATAAACATATTGGCCTGTGTTTGTGAATCTGGATTGAAGTATACAGTACTATTCTTAAACCTGTGGCTGCCACCACCTTTATGTTACTTTCCCAGCTGATGACTGCATTATGCTGTGTAATATATTTTTGGTCTGTGGTGATCATATTCCTACTATCTTGTAACTAGATTTTATATTACAATCACAATCATTATTATATATTTGTGCAGTTCATATATTAAAGAGAAATGTTTATTACAACTGTAATATTACCTTACAGTACAGTATACATTATTAGATAAAATATAAGCTGATTGTACTTCATTCAGCCAAACTTTCACATTCATTAAAAATAAAAATGTTACATGAGCGTGTATGGTGGAGTAAGAAGGCAGGGAGGGAGTCAACTTGTTGGCAGACTCACCTTTTGAGAAGTCCCACCAGTGGGCGGCTGGGGCGTAATTTCATTACATTATTTCCCTCATAAAGCATTAACTTTTCCCTAAAAAACAATAAACAAATGATTCTTTGAGATTATAAACATTAAATCATCATTTTACACACAAAAAACACAGTTAATGAACCAATTGCCCAGAATGATACCTCCCAAAATATCACCACATGGATTGAGAGTACTGGTGGCATATGACCTGAAGGTTCTTGGTGACCTGACCCGAGGTACAAGCAAGTTCAGTCAGTGTTGCCCTCACTCCCTTCAGGTGATCACATGGTCTCCACCATCCCCAAATTCATCATCCATCTGTACCACCAACACCTTCAACCATCAACACCAACTACCACTATTAACCCTCCTCAACAGTTTACCACAATTTGCTTCACACAACCACCGGGGCACATCTAAACATAACAGTTGACTTGACAACCCCCTGGATATGCTACCTGATATTTTGCCTCACACTTCCTCATTCTGACTGTCAGACTCACTATTCCACTTCATCAGTCTATATCACCTTCCTATCCAATTTTCCTCCCAGAGCTGGACACTGATTCTGCTGGCTGCAGCAATGCTTGGTGATTGGATTTTTATTTTCAAATTCTTTTGCCATCATACAGTGACTTATGATGCAGCCCTTGTTATTAGCCATGTATTAATAAATACTGTACTTTTCATAGTGTAGTGTCTTGCATGAGGTATTTCATGATGTAACTTCACACAAGGTACGGGAATTACTGGATATGAAAAATAAATAATGGAAATTTCTTTAAGTTTTTGAAGGAATCAAGTGGCCCATTCTTCAAAATATGAATTCAACCACAAATATATTTTGCTGCATTAAGACATGCCTTGCAAATATTGGATAACATTAATTATATTCTTTATCATATTAAAAACATAACTACTTATATGTTTGTTTATTTGGTATACCTTTTTTTCTGAAGGTATAGTATCTGTACTTTTAAAGGATATATCTTAGTTTCTCAAAACACATAAATCATTTTGGAAAAAAAATTTGTCTTAACTTGTCTTTATATTTGTATTTAGATACTTGCAGGAGTTTTCAAAGCAAAAAATATTGGTTTAGTGAACTGGTTGGTGCATTTTTTAAGTCAGGATGTACAATTGATGATTTAACAATGTGCACTAAGGATAAATGGGTAAAACAAGGACAGGATCATCAGGTAAGGACATGCAAAAGAAAACATTTAGTAACTCTTTTAAAGTACCCGTACCAACAAATGTGACCAAGTGATGCATAATGGTAGCTCTCACCTTCCCTGTCATGTAGATGTAAATAAGCTTGAAATGACATCACTAGGTCAAAATTTGCTGCTCAAAGACAACATAAGTATAAAGCAAGCATTAGGTGCAACCCAATAATCATACAGCAAATCTTCTATTTAACGGACTATATGGAGAGGAGAATCCGTTATATCGAGGATCGGTTAGTTGTGAAACCTCCACCTTACGAACTATTTAGACATAGAAGTCCGTTTTATCGAGGGTCTATGAATTGTGAAACCTAACATCTAACGGATTTTATAAAGAGAAAATTCTGTTATTAATGGAGGTTTCACTATTCAGTATTGGCCTAAAAACATATGAACATAACAAAGCACTGTGCAGTCTAGACAATCAAATTGTTGAACCCTGCACATACTGCCAATTTTATCAGCTGCCATATCATTCTTTGCGATTCGAAGACACTTTTTTGGCTGCCCAGTATCTGCAAGAAATCACTTGAACTCAATCCAATAATGGCTCAGAGGAACTTAAAGTACGGATATCTGAAAACCAAATTTGGCCTTAGACAACCATTTCAAATTAACTCGGATATGTATACCTGTACTTGGAACTCATTGTTAATCTAATGAATACTTACTGTAAACTGTGCTTAGAACTCATTGTTAATCTACTGCAGTGTATAATGTAAAGTGAATGTCTGTTGTGCATGTTTGACTTTGGTAAGACTCATAACCCCTACACAGTTGTAAATGTGACCTTACAGGAAAGGACTAAAATACTGGAAAAAAAATGCAGGACCAACCACCTGATTGTCTAGTAAAATGACTAAGGGTAAAAATGATACCACCCCCAAAAAAGTCACTTAGACCATTAGCCATAAAAGATTTATCAAAGCATTAAATCTCATTTGTGGTCAAGGGCCAAGACTTAGATTGACCCAGGTTAGAGAGAAACCAAAAAAATTAATAAAATTAGGAACTCTACCATTTGAACCTATGGGCAAAAGAAGAATGGTTTTCACAGAAGCCATTTCAAGAGTTTCATGTAATACTGTAGGTGGAATTGTTTCTATGCGGCATCATAATACCTGTTTGAAGATTTTTTGGGTGATTACATTTAAGAGAAAGGATCAGTTTCAAAACATCCAAGGGTGAAGTTTATAAAATTGTTGATGTTGACAGATAAAAAAGGCTGTCTTTATCTCTGGGTGTAAAACTGGAGAAATATACTGAATCCAACATGGACAATGCTGAAGGAGGAGAAGAAATCAATTTCTTGTAAGTAAAGTAAAAAGGAAAAGAGCTATCATGATAGCGATGTTTTGTTTGTTGTCTAACTTCCGAACTTGGAGCAAAAAACAGAGGGAGAAACAAAAATTTTCCCATTTGCTCTCATTCACTACAATGTAAGAAGTCCTAATTAACTGTTCTGAGGGGAATGAAAAGATCTGAGAGGAAACCCCTAACAGCACTATCCATTGGAATAATTCCTGATCAAGGTTACTCTTAGAAAGAATCCTCATATTCCTGAACACCGCATCAGCTTCTATATGAAGCACTGCTACAATATCTTTGGTCTCAATGAAACAAGAATGTCACAAAGTTGACAGCAAAAAATTCACTGAAAATCAACTAAAATAATTGTTTTCTTAATTATACTTGTTTGCTGATATGAGGTACTGCTTATGCATTGTTTGTGTACACAAATTTTGCTCTTCCCAGTATTTTCACAAATTTCCTGGGGAAATATGGGGAACTAAAAGCTATTTTAGATTGATATTCTTTTCTCAATGACCTCCAAATTCAGTTTTAGCCGTTGGCAGGTGCACCTGTCCACACTGAAAGGGTTAGCAAAGATTTATTCACAAAACCCCTGAGAAGTTAGGTTTGTTCCCTTCAAATTTCACTTCAGAGCCTTCCAGGGGAAACAGTGAAAGGAGAGCAAAATATCATTTCCTTGCTTTTAAGGTTAGATTTAATCTTGTAATGGAGAAATAGCATCCTTTGCTCAAATACTAACTTACCATAACATTTTCACATAATCAATGGAAGATTTGTAATCTTCAATATGATTCCTGACTAAGGACAGGAAAGTATAAAATTTTGTCTTTTGGAAATTAAACCAATCAGATTTTGGCATTCTATCAAACAATGAAACTTCTGTTTTGGGCTAATCAGGACTTTTCCCACTTTACTACAAAAACTAAATTTGAAATCATTAAAATTATTCTTTGTGTGTTGTGACACGAGAGCTTCCAGCCTGGCAGCCAGCCCAGCCAAAAAATATGTTTGACAAGGCTGAATTATCTGAGGCCATTACACAGAACATTTTATAGCATAAATCCCTGTACAGTCATCCCTTGGTTATCACGCCTAATTGGGACCACGCCGAGTGCGTGATAACGAAAGTACAGTGATCCCTCAGTTAACGATTTACCTTCCATAAGATTCTTAACTTCGGTTAACGAGCAATCCCTCGATTAACGCGTTTCTTACGAGCGGACCTCAACATGCTTTCGTTTGCATTTGGCGGTCCACCAGCTGTAGTATTAGTCCACCAATACAGTAATCGGTTCTAGGGCTTAAATTCCTTACTATTTTAGTAAATATCAAGAAGTTTATACTATTCAATAATTTTAAAAGTTTAATATTAGTTTTTTAGTCATTTTAACAATTATTGAACATAATTGAAGTACAGGAAACTAGTTTTATGCGCGCCAAACAGCCTGTCAACACACCAAACAGGCGTCAGTCTCTGTGTCTTTTCAGTGGAGGTGACGTCTTACACTTGAGACTCTCTTCAAAACTAAAGACTTTTTCTGTGTTTTTCCAAGACGGATATTGGTCATTTTGAAATATATTTTACACATTGACAATATATAATGCAGTGCAGTGTTGATTTAAAGAAAATAATCTTGAATTACACCAAGAGAACTAAAATTTTATGGGTGAAATGGCCCCATGGGGTGACTTCTCTTCCACCCCAATGCCTTCTCTTCTCCTCCACCCCCATTCTAATTCCCATCATCATCCAGGAGCCTTCTATATACACACCTCAAAGTAAGTGTACTTTACTACCTTTTTTGTTGATTTTAGGCAATTTTCAGTGAGATGGAACCAATTACCCAAAAACCCATTGAAACAATGGTTTCGGTTAACGAGCAACTTCTGGAACGAATTGTGCTCGTTAACCGAGGGACCACTGTACAGAACCTATGGGATTTATTCTAATTGGTTCCAGACACCCAAGACCCAACCCCAATTTTCCCATTTTATGCCCATTTAGACCCACTAAAGATATAGATAATGTTATGGTAAGTATCAGAAACACACATAGGCATGGCTAGGTTTATTACAAAGTGATGAAAAGGGTACGCTCAATACTGTAGTCCACAAAACATGTAGCTATGCTTTCTTAATTTGAGTCCCTTGTCTGAGGAGTCCGTTTTCTCATCGCTTCAGGATGCCTGAGTCCTCCATTTTCTCTCAATCTTAGAGTGCACCCGAGACATCGTTATTCCTTAGTATTGTCACAGAATTTGAAATTGCAACTGGGGTTGCAATTGTTGAGGCAACTTAGATATGTCTGATTACAGCAAATGTGTTATTGTCAATTTGAAGATGAAAGATTTTATCCTCAATAGATGTAGGTGAAGCAAGGGGGTAACATTACACCTAGAGGCAACTGCGTGATAACGAAATTCTTGGTTTTAAAAATGCGCTATAACAGCAGGTGTGCAGATTTTGATGGAGGCGTGATAACGAAAATCGCAATAACGAAGTGCGCTTTAACCAGGG